GGAAAGAATTTGGCACCCAGTCAAGCACACAAGTGAGACTCATCCACAACATCCAGGCTTTGTCCTTGGAGGAAACAATAGTGTTACTGGATGAAAGACTTCATATGGAGATAACACATATACTTCAGTTTTAACTGTACGTTTTGCAGGGGCTGCTTCTTCACAGTGGTTATTTCTCTTGCCTATAGTCTCTGTTTCAAGATGCTGAAGGGCTTGCACTTCCTGTTGAAGGTTTTCTTGGAACACTGATCAGCCAGGATGTAAGGAAAAACCATTGTTTATGGGTTGGAGCGATGCTTTGTTAATGATGCTTTCTTACCTAGGCTTTAAAATTACTTATACTCAGGAGCAGGATGCTGCAGCAGTATTTATTTTGGCTTCAGTTTAACTCCTGAAGGACTTCATTAAAACTTTCAAAAGCTGTCCAAGTACAGCTGTGGTTCAACACAAGTAAGAAATAGAAGCCATTTCCAGTTTGTTCTGCTCAGGGATGGGCTGGAGAGCAGTCCAGATAATGACATGCAGAGAAGAACAGATTGGGTCTGTGAACAGGAGCTGTCCATTAGACTTCCCCACACACACACCTGGTTATCCTTCTTTCCTAGCTAACAGGGAGAACAGTCTGATCCTGTTTAAGGGGTCAGTATTTTCACTACTAGTTCCTTGAGTTTAGATGTGTTCCACAGCGCGGTCTCCCCTGATGAACAGCAGTGCTGTCCATCCCACCAACACCACTGAAAGAGTCACAACCCCTGAATGGGAGCAGCTGCTTACCAGCACCTGTAACCTGACAACACAGAAGGAAAATTATGGATAACTCTGGCAGCTGGAAGCACAGGGAAATTGTAGGTAGATATGATATCCAGTGCCAAAGCTGTGGAAGAGCCATGCCTCACAATAAAAGAGTTTGTAAGATTCAGAAGTGTATCAGATTTTAGCATCACTCTGACTCTTCTGCAACAGGATGGGTAATGTTCTTAGTGAGGGAACGGCATGGAAGCAAGGACCAAACTAAAGCCTCTTTCCTGCACTGTGAATCTAATGAGTTTATCCACAGCTGGTAGATTAAAGACCCTGTTCTCATCTTATTTTGCTTACTCCCCCTTTCTAATTCTCAGTTATTTTCTTGATCTTCTAATTAATTTCTCTATGCTGTCCACTCTCTTTCCATAGGAATTAAGCAGATGCTCAAGCAAGCCTTTTTGGTTACAGCTCAGATGAACTAAAACACACCTCATGCTACTAAAACAGACTTTTCTAAAGCCTCATTTCCCTTTAAACCTTCTTCTCATATGATTCAGGTCCTTACCGTCTGCTTCTAGACATTTTTAACAGCAAACTTGAGAGGAACACTCCTCTGCAGTACCAGAAGAGCAGCAGATACCCATGCCTTGCTCACTGAGGAGCAAACCAGTTCTGCATCATTAGGGCACAGAGAGCCATCACAGGACTTGGATCTCACACTAATCAAAGTGACACAAAACTTCTCATCTCTCGTAACACAGAGCTCTCTCTTCACAAACTATTTTGCTAGATAAAAATACTATGCACTTCATGTATCTTGAGATACCAAACATGGCACTACTAAAGCAAAGTAATCCAACCATTGTCCTGGCTCTTGCAGTCACCCCAGTTCCAGCGTACTTTTTGTTTTCTCCTTGCCAAATCAGTTTTTAGCACTATTGCAGGGCTGATCTGATCTACCACAAAGACACAGGATCAGTAACACAAACTGAGGAGCAGAGGGATGTGTGCAGAGCCCCACCCCTTGCAGAAAAACCCTGCATTTGGGTTGTGCCAGGCAAACTGCAGCCACGCATTCAGTTTTATAATTCAGGGATCAGGGAGGTCAAGGGGAATCTTTTCATTCACTTCAGCAGGCTTTGGAACAGAGCCTGGTGCCCACATTATGCTGTCAAAGGGACTACTTTTCAGATGGTTTATTAGTCTATTTTTTTCCAAGAAGACTGAAATAACAAATTCAGCCTAAAACCCTGGAACAAGAAGGCAAACTGCAAGCTACTAATTTATGCCTCACCAAGAGAAAATACATTATTTTAAATTTGATGTATAGTAAATATGGTTTTGGACAAGCAGGTAAATTAAGACAGTGCAAGACTGAAGATGAATTCACTGTGTGTCTGCGCATGATAAATTCTCTAATCAAGTTCACGAATGAAAGCAGTTACTAGGTAATTTGCTGTTTTAAACTTGCTCAACTCCCTTCTCTACCAGCAGTCACCTCCTCCTTCCCCAGTATTCATTACCCATTTCAGCTAAATGCATTGAAATTCCCATTAAGAAGGAGGGGGCTTTACCACAAAATATGCCAAGTGTTTTCCACAGGTTGTAGAAGGAGCCAGACCTTGACTTCAGGCAGTTGTGCAAAATGCAAAGCATGCAAGAGTCTTGGTTACACAGCACAGGATGTCAGGACTGCAGCAGAGTCGGCACTTGGACAGGGCTCTTGCTGGAACAGTACTTCATTGTCAGAAAGGGACATCTCCATAGAATTACAGAATATCCTGAACTGGAAAGGACCCAAGGGTTATCAAATCCAACTCTCCTGTTGCATACCAGGGTTCCCTTTTGCAGAGCTCCCTCCTGATTTATCCTGTTCCGACAAAGCACAGGCTCTCCTTTGCTGTGACAGGCAGCATTCTGTTTTCCACATGACTGCTTAGGTATGTGCTTTCACAATGACATCACAGTTGGCTGAAGAGATGGTGCAACAATACTTAAGTTCATCACTGCCTAAACTCAGGGTAGGTGACCTGCACCCACCCAGATGTATGGTTTGGATGCCAGCAGGAGCTAGTGATACCCAGTAATGGATTAGGTAGAAAGTATCATGCAAAGTACGGCATGATCTTCATTATTAAGGTGGAAAGTTTCCATGATATGCTGAATAGCATTCCAAGATCATCTTACTTTGCAGATGTTAAATTTGTTGAGATTTGCATTTAAATCATCTTTAAAAAAAAAAAAAAATCATCAAAGTTATATGGAAATAGTTTCAGGCCCTTCTAACTCCGAACACAATCACACTCTGAGAGCAGAGACATGACTTCTACTAAACAATAACAGCCTTTAGGAAAACTTCAGGAAAAAGAGAGTCCTTTTCATTTGACTTGTAACTTACAGAGGTACTTCATTAAATTAACTTCTGTAAGGACTTCTCATGTAAGTGTTCTTTACCTGCTCTTCCTATAACAAAAGAAATCCTTGTCTTGCCAAGCAGATGAATGACTGCTTTTGTTTCTTACTTTTTCCTTGGGATTTTACCACACTCCAAAGCAGTTAAGGTTACTGCAGTGTTTCACTGATTACAAGTGCAGAGGAACAAAGCAATTCTGTAATCTTTTTGACTCCTTTCCTATTGCCTCTGTTTAAATGTCTTTCCTCTTTTGTTTCCCAGCAACAGCTGTGTCTGTCCTTAGTCCGGACTACGCTCTTCCAAGTGCCTTCCTCTGCCTCCCCCACCTCTTTATTCTGTTCTTATCCCCTCAAGGGTTTATTTATTTTTTTTTTTCAATTTTAAAGGACTTTAGGTATAAGCACAGTATCACTGAATCAGTAATGAAAAATCTAGCAAAGAACATGTGCACTGGCTTTTTAGTATAAGATTGTCCTTTTTGGTAAACCACAAAATCATATTCCACCCCAAAGCACTGAACAGCATCTGTTACTTACTTGTTCCATTGAACTTATTTCCTGGTGTCTGACTCATCTCAACAGAATTGCTGCTCAGATTTCCTTTTCTGTTTTGTTGTCAGGAGTACTGAGTGGTCAGTATTCCAGTTACCATAGAATCAGTGATTACACAATTGGCAATTATGACACAGGCAGACACAGCTGAAGCTTGTCAAACACATGAAAACTAGTACAGGTATCAGCTAAAGGAAAATCCTGAAACTTTTTCTGATCTTACAGATTGTTTCTATTGATTCTGTTAACAGACAATAGTAGAAAATGAAGGCTTAATCTAGATGTGTATACTGTAGTGATACTTTAGCTTTCTGAGCAGTGACAAGATGTGCAGATTCAAATGCCTCTTTATTTCCCCCTGCAAAATTGTCACTTTACCAATTAAAATATATCATAAAAGCCTTCTTCCAATAGAAACAGGTATTTTGAATTGTTTCCGTACATTAAAAGACATCATCAGTCCCTGTTAGCTTGTCTCCATCTACTATTCACAAAACTATTGAAGGAATATTGAAGATGCTTTGAATCCACTAGTAGTCAAGCTACTCCACTGATGTGTTTGTTACCATGTCCCTTCCAATAAAAAGGCTAACTTTTCACATAGAGAAATCTGCCTTTGTCTGTAACATACAGACATAAACCCGAGGGTTTTTTTATGAATACAGAAGGATTCAGGACTGAGTACAAATCCTATAAATTTCATTCACATTATGGACCAGTCACAATCAAAATAACTCATGTTCACAGTATAAATATTTAAGTTCACCCCAAACATACAGATTTTGGCCCTCAGCTCACCTTTAGGAAGTTTTTACAACAGCAGTAGTGGGTACTAAGTTTGTATTCCAATTAAACCAAATTTAACACAAGACCTGAGGAAGCATATTCCAGAAACACCAAGACAGTGACCATCTGCAAACACAAACTATTTATCCAAGTATCTGCTGTTTGTTTGCCATCCTGCTCACACTGAGTACTTCCAGCAAAGCCAATTCCAATGGCAACATTAACAGTCACTGAGTGTTGTAACTACAACACCCCTTGTGATGGATTTTATTTGCCAGGAAATGTAAAATTCATATTAGGTAACAGGGACGTCTAACTACAAAACAGCTTTCCAGACACCTTCATTTACAAAAGGCTTCCATCATAGTACCAAAACAATAAATAACCTACCCAAAAATAAGGACCAAGGAGTGGGTGTAAACTCCTTGACTTACAAAACTGTATCATAGCAAGGAACTATATTCAACCATCAGTATAAGAGAGAGAAGACATAAATGAAAATACTGTTTTGTAAACTGAAATAATTTAATAGAAGAATCTAATCAGATCAAATCTGTAGGACATTGCTGATTTGTTGAATACATTCAACAAATATATATATAACTCTGTTCAGTGATAACTTGTAAGAAAAATATTCATAATTTTAATACATTTCTACTGTAATGAAAGTTTGCAGCAGTTGCCATGTCACTCATGACAGAATAGATATCACCAATACATTATTTTATATAGAATTTCACTTCAGAAAAAGTGACAAGTTACAGGATCTTGTTACAGTGAGATTTGAACAACCCCCTTTGAGCAGGACTGGCAGAAGTGTGAGGCAGCAGTTCCCTTCTCAATACAAAAGAAAAATTAGGGTTGACTCCACAGTTTCATCAGGACAGCTTCAGACCTTGCACATTTTGTTTCAGATTGAGCAACTCTTTCTCTTGTCTTGTTTTCTCCTGTTTGAAGGCCAGCTTGTTGGCTTTCTTCTCCATTCTGCGTTCCTTTACACAGGATTAATGAGAAATATAGTAAATAAGAATTAACATGCAAAATCAAACCATTCCAATAACTTCTAAATCATGAAAAGAGCAATCTGGTCAAAAACATTATTTATGGCACTAATTATTAGTAGTCAAATTAGTATGTGTACCAACAGGATAAACATCTTTGGTTAGTTGAAGTTTCTAATATGCTGGCAATTTCTGTTCCTAAATAAGACAGCTAGGATTTCATTGTGGCCAATTAGGATTTTCCACATTTCTTCCAGACACTTTTCACTCTGTGTGATCTGAGACATTATAACTATTTCCTTTGCTACTCTAGGTTGTAAAGAAATCTGATATTCATTCAGAAACTGTATCTGCAGTAGCAGCCACAGTAAACGACCCTAAGTTTTGACACTGGAAATCAGTAAGCCTAAAGTATGATGTTAACTTTCTTTCCAGTAGATTTTTTTTTTTTTTGCAAAGAAGCAAAAATTAGTCCTTTGAGACCAACAAGTTTGTCCCATTACCTTCAGACATGACAAGTGAGCTTCAAACGAAGTTTGTACGACAGAATTCAGGTAACATAAAATGCTTTGCAAGGTTTTATTTGCAGTCAGGCATACCTTTCGCTCCTCTTTTATTGCCTGTTTTCTGGCTTTGCGATCCTCTTTGCTCTCAGCTTTGGAACGAGGCTGTGTCGACGCTTTTGGCAGGTCACTGCCATTTATCATTTGCATGCGTTCCACCTGCTTAGCAGTGAGACCTCTCTGAGGCAAGATGTGTAGGGGAATTCCAGTCTTCTGAGAAATTTTTATTGGCTTGGGCTAAATTAGAGAGTGCATATGAATTAGTGGCCCCTAGCTTTCTCTCCAAAAAGTGCACATGGCACTGCCTTATCAGTGTAAAAACTTCAGATCCAGATTTAACAGTAACAAATGTTAAGTCTCCTCATACTATTTAACTCCTTCACAAAAACACACATTAATCCCAAAGTAAGAAATCAAAACATCTGTGACAAAAACCTGGCCTTCTAGAACAAGTAATACATTTTTATTTCACCATTACTGAAAAAATAAAGAACTTAAGTAGTTACTTAATATTCCCTTATAAGCTTGCAAGAAAAAGGTTCCATTTCAAATTTGGGGATATCGAGCTGTGCTCTAATGATGGGGAAGACATAGAAGACCAAAGAAGTAGAATAAATTGTTTCAGACCGCAGGAAAATAAACCTGAACAAATATGTGGCTGGGAGACACAGGTTACACAAAGGTGTCTCACAAATAACAACAAAGGAAATTCCTTGCTCTGTTTCTGCCTACCTATTGGAGAAATTTTGAATTGACTCAGTTTTCCTTTTAATAAGAAAAAAATACATCCAAATTCTTCCTTAGTGAAGAAATAATATCAGAACCCTGCCCAACCCTCATTTCTGCTCCCTGTCTTTGAAAACAGATACCCATTGAGAAAACAAATACATTTATCTCAAGTTTGCCCAGTGTTATTCATCAGAGAAAGTTTATTAATTTTACCTTTGATGGCTCCTTAATAAGTGTTGGGTGATTATACAAGTTTGAATAGGTACCTAAGTCACAAAGAAAAAAGAAAGTACTCAAGAAAGGCTTGCAAATAGAAATTATGAATTGTACTGCTACTTAGGTTTTGGAAATTCCTCCTGTTGTGCTCAAGAGAATAAACCATTTTACATGAAGCACTGTCAGGAAAGTTCTGAAATCATCTATCATTTACTTTGAAATCCTAAGAACAAATAAGCAAACTCCAAAATACTTACTCAAAATGGATTCACAATCCCACTTTTCTTTTGACTCCTCAATAACTACAGTTACTATTTCTTCCTTTTCTTCCTCACTTTCTTCATTTGCAGGAGAGTCCAAATCTTCATCAGGTTCAAGAGCATCCATTTTCACACAACTTTGAAGAAGTTCAGAGAAGAAATAAACACAGTTTATCTCTTCTTGAAAAAATTACATAATCCCAGACTCCCTTAAGTAAAGCCCCAGACCCAAGAAAGCCATTTCCAATGAAATTTTCAGCAAAAATTAAGTTTCCTTATGTAAGCCTCCTCAAAATAAACGAAAAACATTAGAACAAAGACACAGTCAACAAAAGAAGTATTTCTACTTTTCAAGATAATGAATGCCTCTAATAGATGCTGCTTACATTGTGTTCAACAGTTATACAAAAGGAGCATAACCTACTCAAATCAAAATTCCTCCACTTAATTTTATCATACAAATGGATAATACTCATATGCAGATGCTTTTATTGTGGGATGCAATCTTTGAGTACATGAACTTGAAATAACACACCCAAAATTTTCATATAAACAGAGGATTACAGAAATACTTATGTGAAGCACTACTTCTGGGAATACATACTTCTTTGCTTTCTCTTTGTAGTAATCATCCAGGACTTCCTGCAACCGAGCATTGTCTGTGTTAATGTAGCCTTCTAACTCCACGTTATCTAAGGCTCCAATCTCATCTTCATCAAATTGTTCATAAAACTAAAATAAAGAAGTGGATATCTAATTAGACCGCATTTGTCATGCAACTTCTTGATAGCTCAAAGAAGAGCCACACGTTTCTTTATATTTCCCTCTTTTTCCTCTCCCCTCTGATATGCTGAACTGCCAAACACATCTGCAGTAGGATTTCCTCCTTACTGTCAGTAGTCTTTCCACATGAGACTTAAAGTTATAATAATATATAAATCAGCTCCAAGAAAACGTCTTTTATTCTGATGTATTATTTCAATCTATGCCTTAAGAAGTCTGTCACTGCTCAGAACAAAAGTTACACCCCCTATTTCCACCACTCTGACATCACTTCATGAATACATACTTCACCAGGGACCTGTAAATGGTTTGCTGTGTTGAACTGAGCCTCTCAGACAAAAGTGTTAACACTAATTATGAATGCTCATATTGTCATTGGAGTAATTTTGTTTACCTCCATCAGTGCTAGGCCTTTCAGTAGCAACTATAACCTAGGTGACACAAGCCTCTAAATGTGCCCAGTATTAAACACATGCAAAGAGCAGTGGCTTGATGCCCTGACTACTAAAAGCAGTAAAATCAGCACAGGTATACAGGACACTGCCTGATGAAATGAAGAATACACAAAAACAGTTACACTCTTGAGCTGCCTCACCTTCTCAAATCTGTCATCCAACAGGGTTAACTGCTCATTTCGTCTTATTACTGAAGATGACATAGAATATTCGGTGAAACGACTCCTGGTTTCTTCTTGCATAAAAAGGAATTCCTTTGTTGGTCCATTAACCTCATCATCTGACAAAGGACCTTCTGAATCATAGTCTTTATCAGTACTGCAGCTATCCTTTTCATCACTATCATCTTCCATATCTTCCCATTCATCCTCATCCTCAGCATCTGGTCCCCTGAAAAGAAGTATAAAATAGTTTTAGAGTCATACATGGACCTTTACATAGCTCTGACCTATGCTGGGTTATCTGAAATAATTTGGCAGTAACAGATTTTAATCTTGAGTGAGACTTTTGTCTGAGAGCTGAAAGCATTGCTGGCTGGATGATGCAGCTGTGCACTGAGACTGAAGTTATTTTTATATTCAGCTGACATGTCAAAGCAGAAAAAAACCAGCTGCATTCTTGACTATGAAAGCAAGCAAAATTTCTGAATGTTCATGAAATTATGAGAATGATAACAAAACCTAAGCAGATAAAATACAGTGGGGTATCACATGAAGCTTTTGCAAAGGTTTCAGAAACAGCCATTAGTCTTCACCAATACTATTACTGATGTCTTTTACATGCAATAGATGACAATGTTTTAAACAGTTCCAGAACACTATTATTCCAAACATTGCCTATAATCCATGAGCTCAGAGTAACAAATGAAACCCATCTCTTGGATAACATAAGAAATTTGACTTTGCAAGCTACCACCCAAATAACACAAGATAATACTTCTTTCAACACACCAAAGTATTCCATTTGAAATCTGAAACCATTGTGGCTTCCTACACTACCACATTCAACAGCAAATAGTGCCTCTCCTATTTACATATGGCAAGTATTTCAACAAAACTCTATCTACCGCTTCTGTGGTTTATTTGCTTGTAGAACAAAATCATCTTCCAGGATATTTTCTGGATTGTCAAAGTCAAAATCATCATCAAGAGCTGCAACAATATCTGGATCAAAATCTAGCCGTGGTCCTAGAAAGTTGAAAAAACAAAACAAATATTTGTTTTACAATATACAATATAACATTTTACAATAAACAATATACAATGTAAAATGTAACATTTTACAATAAACAATATACATTTCTCTGACATAATAAAACTACTTTTGTGGATAAAAAGTAATCCAACTGGGCTGTTAATTTGCAGTTATGAAAGCTTAAATCAAAGAATCACAAAATTCCTCAAGAATATTTGTAGATTTGATAGAAGCCAGGACATGTCACCAATCTCTTGTCAATTTTTATCACTCAGAAAAATACATTTCCCAGAGGTCTTAAGCTTCCATAAATGTATTTTAATACAGAATATTGAAAAAGAAAAAATATCCAGGTTAAAGTACCACATGATCAACTACCAGCATTAGCTCCAACCCTAAAATTCCCTCTATTACAAAATTCTCTACAATTACAGTAGAAACATTAGAAAACGTTTCTCTGATGCAATTAACAGAATTGCCTTTAGCATCCTTCTGTCAGGACAGAGAGAACTGCTACAATTCCTTACTGCTATGAAATATGGAGATAGCTGTGGAGACAACGCCCAGTGCAAACACAGATACATAACAAAAACCTACTTACAGCCTGTAACACTGAAATAAAACTAATGAAGGAATGTAAACACTATGCAGCATTTGAAAAGAAACTGAGTGAAAATCCAGTTCCTGACTCAGATTCAAACAGACAGAATAATAAATTAATAGTATTATCTACAGTTTTTCCCTGCTATTAGTTTTTACTTGCTACACAATAGTAAAAGCTCATGGATTCATTCACCCTTTTCAAGCAAAGCTAAAGAACCCTTATTAGTGAATAACAGATTTAAGTCTCAAGTTGAAACATGGGTCTCACAGATAATTCCTTATGTCTGCTACTGAGCCTGTTCTAAGTCAAAAAAAAAAAACCCGACACCACAAGAGCAGCCTCAATTACCATCTATTTCCTAGATGGCAACTCACATCACAAAAAGGTGGAATATACCTGAAACAGGAGCAGCTTTATTTAACAAGCCTACATCCTCTTCAAACTCTGTGGCAAATACCGAGGAAGGCAACTTAATGGATGGAGCCTTAGAAAAAGAAACAAAGAAACATGATCACAATGTATTTGTTCTCAGTTTCTTATTTGAGCTCACGTTAACAAAATTATGCAGACACTCCTGTGACCAAAAGAAACCCTGTGAGCGCTACTTAAATGTTCCAACAAGTGCTACGTTATCTGCAGCAAATTTTCAGAGTTATACAATGACAGCTACTTAGAAGGACTGCAGCATCAATTCTCATGTCAGTATTCTCCAGGTATAGAGACAGTATTTTTTGCATCTCTGAAACCTTTTAGAGAATGGTTATGCAGCAGTGTCCTGGTTTAGGGCACACTGAAATTTTAAATTTTTTGTTTGTTTGTTTTGGAGAACACTAAGACACATTTGAAATCACCCCTTTACTGAAAGGCTTTTCAAAAGCTTCAAAGCATGCATATCTAACCTAACTTTAAATCTTATGTAGTATCACCAAGCTGTACCTGAAAGGTACTTCTGACCAAGACTATTGGTTTTGAGTAAAAATTACAGTATTTGGTTAAATCAAACAGCCTCAGCTATAAGTGACTGGCAATGGCATACTTTATTGCTTCAAAGCATTTACTGCTTTTCCATTCCAATGTGATCCAGCATCATGAACTTCTAGAAGTAATGCCAGCAATTGAAAAGTTTGTTTTTATTCCATCAGGTTTCTATCACATTCCCCTTTAAAAACATGGTGCACTGATAATACAGCCTGACACACTGATAACTCCCAGAGCATTCAAAAGTTCTGAAAAAACCTTAAAAACAAACACCCACTCCAGAAAAACACATGACTTGTTCAAACAAACACCTTTGCAAGCCATGTCTGTAGAGAAAAGTTTGTCATGGGTATGTGCTGTAACACTGTGCTAGCAAAATAATGTTCATCATCAGTAAACTCTGCCTTGTCAGCTTCTGGGTTTACTTGTAGGAAAGTCTGGTTGTGGGTCAAAAGGACACTTATAAATAAACAAACATACACATATATATACACACAAACACACAATGTGTCTAGAGGATGTTAATGCTCCGAAGAACAGTATTACCATTAGAAAAAAATACTACTTACTGAAATTCTCTGAATTTCATCTTCTATGTGCCCCTCATTTGTGATGACAATTCTGCTTTGCTGTCCACGCACAGATGGGACAAGCTCAGAGGGACCAGAGGCTTCTTTGAGGTGCTGCAAATAGTCATAGTCATCATCAAAGAAGACACCATACTTGCGCTGCTCTTCCCTTCTTTGCTCCTCATGCCCCTAGGAAGCAGGGGGAGAAGAGAATAATCAAAAGGAATACATTTAGTTATTTAAGTCCATTTAAAACTTACTAGCAAAAAGAAAAGCAACACATCTACTGAGAGTATCTGAATATTGAAGTCCTTGTAGTCCTCTCTCCACTCCTCACCCTAATTCACAGCTAATCAGAATGTTGTAATCAGCCGGTTCCCTGTCTGGGTGCTGTCTGAGCAGGACCTTTCCATCAGCAATATAACCAACAATGCCTGTTTTATCACAGTGAGTCAGCCAAGTTTTGTTTCTGTTTTTCAAATACATTTACACTTCTAATGCCAGTTAAATCATCTTTCAACCATCAGGCACAAACACACAACTGTAGAACTCCCTACAACATCCCTTTTTTTTAATAAGCTGAACTAAAAACTACCTTCTCTCTGGCTATGCTTTTGAATTGTATAATTGCATACCAACTATTTTCCTCCATGGCGTTTCTTATCTGAATGAACCTCAGTATTAAAAGTGAGTATTTACTTTCTGTGTGGGCAGCAGAACTCTTTGGGGTGCAGTATCATCAGCAGCAAGAGGATCCCTCTGACTTCGGTGCACTAAGTGAAATGTTACTGCTTTCTTCTTCTCTATGAAGGGCTTTTTCTTCTTGTGAGGCTGGAAAAGTAAATATGGTTAACCGTTAACAAAAAACAAAATATTAAATGCACCTAAAGAGAACCTTTTCTCTGTAGTGCACTGCTGCATTCATTTTAAGAAAATGCCTTATAAACATATGCTTGTAGACAAAGCATAGAGAGGCCAGTGGGAGCTTAACTCATCTCCCCCCCCACACGACAGACATTTAATATGTTCTAACAGCAAACGCACTTATTCACCTGCAAAACGGCAATACATCGAACTGTAAATATCTGATAACAGCACATACAGTTTAATATACAGCCCTATAAAGGAATTCCGCAACACACTTCATCACAGAAACACGGGAAACTGATATAAGGAAATTCATCTAGACACATCTTGCTTCGTGAGAGCTCTTTAGACGGCTGCTCCTGCAGCAGCAATTCAGCATCAGTCATGAGGACCACCCGCATCACCGCTGCCCAGGCACAGCTCTAACATCGAAATACACATTCCTTCTCAATCAACAAACCCACCAAGTATTCTCAACTGGCTGGAAGCCATTCCTACGAGTTACCACGTCTGACCTGGAAAAACACTTCCAGCAAGGTTTCCGGCTTTACTTACCTAACAAAACGCGCTACAGCCGATACAGGCAACCTGGGGGGTGACTCTATTGCTCTAACCTGCCTTGTTCCCCTGGCAATTCCGAGTACAGAGCCCGGCACACTCACCATGGCGCTGTCCCCCGGTGTCCCGAACCCCACTCGCTCCCACGCGGGTCAGGCCTCAGCACCTCCGGGCCGTGCCCTCCATCTTGGAACAGACCAGTGACCAACGAGGGGAAGGAGATAGGCGGCCAGTCAGGCCAGGTTTGTAAGGTTTCGTTTTCCAGTTAAAAAACAAAAACAAGGAGTCTTTGCTCAGACGGAAATGGTATTTAGGTAAAAGAGGGGCTCAGTGAGCCCAAGCAGGATGCTCGTCGGAGACACATTTTTTCCAGTTCTCCCCCCAAAATGGTGAGGAATGGTTCGGGCCGCCGTCAGCCCCAATGGCAGAACGCGGCGCAGGCGGCCAAGGGGCAGCGCGCGTGCGCAGCAGCCGGTCCGAGCCGGGGCTCGCTGAGGGGAGGGGCGGGCAGCGGGGGCTGAGTCTGGAGGAGCGGGAGGAAATAGCACGTGTTGGTGCTGACGGTGTTTTGCCGAAGTTGAGTTCTTGTTTTTGATGAGCAACAGCTGGGCGAACTGGGCCTGTTCAGAGGAGAGACGACTAAAAGGGGGCTTCATCAATGTCTATGAGTATCTGAAGGGACCGTGTCAAGAGTTTGGATCCAGGCTCTGCTTGAGGGTGCCCAGCAATGGGACAAGAGGCAACAGAAACTTATGCACAGGAAGTTCCACCTGAATATAAGGACCAACCTCTTTACTGTGCACGTTATGGCGCACTGGAATAGATTGTCCAGAGAGGCTGTGGCGTCTCCCTCACTGGAAATATTCAAGAACCGTCTGGACACATTCGAGTGCCATGTGCATTAGGATAGCCCTGCTTGGGCAGGGAGGTTGGATCAGGTGATCCACTCTGGTCCTTTCCAACCTGAACCATTCCGCTGTATCACGCTATAGTTGTATCAGTTTTACCTAGACCACGTAGTGGAGCTGTGTACAAACACAGGCACTCACGTACAGGCTCCTTGCTAAGAAAAAGAGAAGTATGGGTGATATTTTAAAACCTGCTTTGTTATTTTTCTGAAGAAAGTGTAAAACGCAGAGCAGTTTTTTTTTTCCATGTGTTTGCTGGCAAATATAACAGTAATGGCTAAGCAGAGGTTTCACTGAAGATTCAAAAAAGTCATCCACATCAGTGTTTATGGATGCAGCTAAATATTTATATATGCGTGTACCTTAAAGTATTAGCTTTAGTCATATTTGGGTGGATTTCATTGGTTTTCAGTAGGTGTCACTAAAGCTCCAAAAGAACCCAGATTTTCACTCTTCTGGCTGTTTTCTGAAGTCTGGAATCTTTACCAAGTTTCATCACACCACTCTTGCAGAAGTGCACAGTCTGATCTGATCCACTCCATCACATTGAAATAACTCCTCTACTCGAGGGATTTAGATGACCCTTGCATATATCTGTGCAAAGGCTGGACTTTCCTCTTTCTTGCAAAAAGTGCCCGGTGGGTGTTTTGCTGCTGTCAGCGGGTGTGCTACACACCTCATGGCACAAGGACATCAGCAATGACCCCTCCGGGACTGCAGGCTGCGAATGGATTTTTCATGACTGCACCCAAGAGCAACAAGTCCCTCCCTACCGTATGTCTGTACTGCCAACAAAGCGACAGCTGGAATAGCAGAGCTGGATTTTCACAAGGTAATTAAGAAAAGAATCACTCAGCTGTTGAAAACACAGTACTTAGCATTTATTTGTGAGGTAATGATGTAGATTAGATTACTCCTTGTTGCTTCCAAGTTCCTGACATGCCTCTCTGGCATCCACAGAAGTGCATGTGTATACACATGGTGACAGGATTACACTTCACAATCCCTTAAACCTGGTGACCTCCATATCTGGTGGTGGCAGTACTGTCATTCCGCACACCCCAGGTCTGGTCTAGGAGCATTGTACTAGTTTGGATGTGGGAAAAAATAACTTTTGCTCTCAGCTCTGCTGTTAGTCCCCTGTTTTCTAAGTGTAAGGTAAGTTTACCTGTTCAGTTAAGTCTCAGTGTTTTCTGTCTTTAATTTACGTCCTTCACCTGAATTTCCTGGCTACTTTCTAAGTATTTAGGGGGAAGGATATGTATTATATGTTCACACAGAGATTAAAACAGGTTCTTCCCCATGTCACAGAAGATTGCTAATGTATACTAAGAGTAGTACATCTGGGGATGAGTTTGAATCGAGGATTAGCAACAATAGCCACCACGTTGCCTACTTTTTTGACACCTGAGGGCGAATCATCTCCTGATTTACATAAAAATTAAATATTTAGTATTACATACATATGAACTGTGTGTGAGAGAGTGTCTCGGATACTCTGTTTAAGCTTCTCATTTCATCCAAGCCTTACAAGGCCATCCATCCCACTGCACTCTCTCACTGGGTTCTTTGCAGAGACTACTTACAGAACTCAGCAAAGAACATCTACAGAGACTGAGGGGGTTAGTGCTCAAGTCACTAACCACTTCTTTTATGCTTGCAGAGGAAAAGTGGTCAGTATTGAAACAGTCTCACTGTCAAGGCAGCCACTTAAAAGATAATATGCTGGAAGCATATTCTTAACATAATCATCAACTTGCCTTCTGTGGGAGGAAATTCATGCTCATTTTTTTTTCTCTTAGTTCCTGCAAAGAAGAAATTATTGCAAAGTAATTAAAACAAAGGTTACTGTCAGTCACTTTGAAAGTTAAAAGATTGTCAGATGCACTGCTGTCTAGGCTGAGCCCTCAGCTGTGCAGAGGGTGTATTTCCACTGCAAATCTGCTGTGAACGAAACTGGTAAAAAACACTTCTTGCTGAAAAGGGGAAATTGAAAGCATAGATTAGGTCTCCAAACCATTGAGCTACAACCCCAACTTTGTATTTTTAAACCAAGTATCACCTCTTGGAACACACCTCTCCGTGAATATACCACACACAGGGAATTTACCAGATGTGTTTGAAGGACTGCCAGAATTCTAAGGAAGGTTTCAGGAACCTTTTTTTCTTTTCATTTCCACAAGGAGGGAGTTTAATTCGGTCTCTGGAGGCTCTCTGAATTTAACTCTGTGTGCCCATGTGCATGCTAGAGATTAAAGTACAAAGTATTTTCAGTAAAGATTTTCTGGACAGCTTTATTGAGGTGATTTTTAAAATTTCCTATTTATATATATTCATTCATATATATCTGTAATTGAAAGAGCCAAACAATTGCTCTGAGGCACTTGGAACTGTGCACAGCAGAGTATCCTACAGTACTGTCCAACTAGGCAGCACACTTGCATAACATATGTACTGTATAACACCCCCAATACATTCTTTATGTTTTTCAGGTGATGATATTTGTGTGCATATATGTATATATATATATATATATATATATATATATATATAACGTTACAGATAAAAAGAAGCAGCTATCATTAATTTGTAACCATATCAGCTGTTTGCATTCACAGATATCACACACCTGTGTAAAATGCAGTGTCAGATCTGTGACCTCTTTAGAGTTACCACATTTGATCACAGTGAGCCAAGTAGATGCATTCACTTTATAATTGTTACATAAAATCTGCCCTGCATAAGCTGAAAAGTTATTGGTATTGATTCTCCACAGACTTCCATCTTTTGAAAGTAATGAAACATGTGGAAAGTACATTTTAAAGGGACAGCAGTTCTAAGCTGGTAATGTTTCAGATACATTTTTTGGTAGTTGCCAGTAACTCTTTATCATGACAGGCAGTGGGGAGCCAAGGCTTGAATTTTGTTTGCCTTACTTGACTTATAAATGGGAACATTTAATGAAATCAAAGCAAGTTACTTAAAGAATAATTTTTTATCAAATTAATAGAAACAATAAAGTCTAAGAACTGGCCTAGTGTGTATGAATAGGTGACACTCTATGCAAAATTTTAATTCCAATGAATTAATGTGCAAATTCCATTTCAGGTGAATGTGGCCACCTTAGAGCCTATTCAGCAAGTTAGAATCTTCTGACTGTACTGGACCCTCGGAAGACCCTCCTGGAGCTTAGCAACCTGCACTGGTGTGGATGTGGGATCAAGCCTGCCTTACTGGAGTCTCGTTCCACAGTGTCTGTGTAGGCTTGCTTGGAAGAGGCAGGTGTGCAATGGTTCCTACAGCTGAACCTACCCTGGTGTACTGCAGCTCTGCCAGAAAAACAGGGGCTTGTGATCTCTAAGTGCTTAAGGTACAGCTGGGTCCAAAGCACAGCACACAGATGTTGCCATGATTTACTTTTTTGAGCTACTGTTCCACAGAACGCCAGGGGAAGGGACACAAACTTAGCAGCTTTATCAGCTCCTGTGTGTACAACAGTGTCTGTGCTCTGCAGTCTTCTTGTGCCTCCCCCAGATTTGCAGTTGTAAATGGAATTCTATTTTTTTTTAAGGAAATCTGCCCTCCCCCCCAAAACTTAAGAGCTATTTAAACAGTTGCAGGCAATTAAGCATGTGCCATGTCCAGACCCTCCCCACGCTGCTGATACAGTCAGATGCCTGTTCACACAAGCCATTGATATTTTTGTTTCAAGTCACACCAGCTAAAATAATAATAATCCAAAACACAGTATTTCTTTAATTCCAAAATTTGTACAAGTTTACAAATCAATATACCACCACACAAAGTAGTGAAAGGAAGAGATGTTAAGCAACGTTTTAACATTTTACTATATCATAACAATGTTCAAATATTGTTAAATTTGACATAGTATTGCGAGATGATTTTTTTAATACAAAGAATTTATGCTTGAACAAGAAGATACAGATAATACCATTGCTTTCTTTGTTTCTATCCAATGCAGTATGCAGCTTCTAGAAAATATTGGTGAAATGCTGTATCTAGTTCATATGAGCTTTATTTCCATTAAAATCTTGAAACAAAATGGGAACACAAAGTGAAACAAGACCTTATTAATTATTAAAGTTAATAAATAGAAACCTGTTTGAACATTACAGCACATATATATTATTTTCACTTCATTTCTCCCTTTCTCTCTATAGGTACAGTTTCCTAAGTCTTGGTGGTGGTTTTTTCAGATTTCTGTTTAACAGAAGTTTTAAGCTATTCTGGGGACTTGCTTTTTTTGTCTTTTTCTTTTTTTT